GGTAAGTCCGTTTGTGCCAACAAAGAATTGTCGAAGGGCAAAAAATTGAAAAAAAAAACATGAACGGGCAAAAGCAACGGCCGCCAAACCCGAAAGGGCGATGAGAGCACTGCGCACCGTGCTCCACGCCGGGTGTCATAGGGCCTTGCCGCACTACTCTCGACATGCACAAAAGACAAAAATCATGGCGGTATATCTTTCCATAATCTAGCGGAAGATTCACTTTCGTTTTGCACTTTTTGAGAGTAGTGCAGCGAGGCCCATAACCACAGGAGTCGGCCGTGGTGTTTGACAGGAAAAGAAAACCAATGAAAAATTGCCAACAGCCACGGACGGCACACTTCCATTGCCCCTTAGAGTCCGGAGGCCGCTCTTTTCGCCCATTCATGTTTTTTTCGCCTTCAGATTTTCAAATAGTGCCATTGCCGCACTTGTTTCTTTTTTTGGGGAAACTACCCGGGAGTCACAAAAATGAATTATAACTTATAATTGCACTCTGGGCCAAGATACAGTTTCGAATTGCAGTTCGGGCAATGTATCCAACCCAGCTTTCTGGCCAGGTAGGGTGCCCGAAGTGCAATTGCAAACTGTATCTTGCCCCATATATAGTGCAATTATAACTCTTCTTTGTGACTCTACTGAAGTTACCCCTTCTTTTTTTTTTTTTTTTTCTTTAACTGCAACTGGACCCTGCCTCCAACAGTTGGGGATAAGACCCTACAGCTGTTGCAGGGGGCTCAGCCTGGTGTTGTGGGCTCCGGTACGTGCTGGGAACCGGGACCAGGGGCCCTTGTGTACATACGACAATTTTTTGTTTTTGTTGGGGGTGGGGGGGGGGGCACCCCAATCATCCCTGAAATTATATGTTGGCAGAAATTAATTAAATTTCTATGACAGTGAAAAGAACAAGTGGACCCAGTGCGGGGACACCTCGCCCCAGGTCCAAGCTTGCCTATACAGGTCAGGACCAGACCGCGCAGGCCCATGTGGGACAGGCTGTACTTTGCGGAGCGGGATGCTCAGTGGTCAGCGTCCAAATAAAGTTGAAGAAACGGCCCAACAAAATGGATTCGACCATGGGGCGCGCCCCACGACTCACCACATGCACAAAGGCAAATATAAGGGCGGTGTATCTTTCCACTTTTTTTTTTTT